GCCACCCGTTACATAAGTAGTTTCGATTACGTTTACATGTTACTTAAGCAGGGGAAACAATTCTGAGTTAGTGGAAGTAGCACGTCGTATATATTAGCTGGTTTAGTGGGCTCAGTACCATTATTAGCCAGTAAGATATAGGCACGTAGATTGAGTGTTCCCATGAGTCCAAGGGAACCATTCGTACTTAGGACAATTTAAAAGACAAAACATAAAACGGATTTAAAAGTACTTAATACCTAAGACTTGGGCGTTTAGGCTTCCTCAAAGCGTAGAATAGTGTAAGCTAAGTAAAAGTTATTGTAGCCCGTTACACCTGGTAGCACTTAGTAGTCCTTCTCATCTCCGAGTTTGGGATGAGCAATTTGTCGTACTTGAACGCTCCAGACGTGAGTTTGGAGCACGCGACTTTTCCCCATCTAATTGGTGTTGAGTGAGATGCCCTTCATTGCCTTGCGGCAATATCTGAAGAGGCATTCGTTTCGTCGCTGATGAAATTAGCGACTTCTACTGGCCAGAATCGCAGTCAGTCAGTCTCGAATACACGACTCTATGGCTCGCGAGCTCGCCGAAACCAATCGGCAAGATTTAGCTCTCTTGAGAGCTTCACAGGACAATGCCGTGAGGATGCAGACCTCCGCCTAATCCGGCGAAGTAAAAGAATTCCTGTCGCTGGCGTGTTCGTTCTGAGAAATTGAAATTGCAATCGCCTAGAGACTTCTCAAGGCTCCCCAGGAAAAAGCCATTGGTATCCTGTCCAGCATCACTGGGATATCCAAAGGGTTGTCTCTTGGTAAACTCGTCGTGGACGAGTTCGCGTTCCTCACTCTGGAAACCATCCAGAACAACCTTACGCTTGCATTTGAAGCGCCGCAAGAAGAGAAGTTGGTTTGTATATAATTTCTGTCGTCGAGACAGCACCAGATGGCCATGCGTGACTACGTGCATATGGCTCGGCATCTAGCCTCGTGCTGGACCACACACCCCATGGGCATGATAACACAAGTGAACGTCTTCGTTGACGGTATCTGTGAGGGGCAGACTCGACTGTCGCAGGAACGCGCAGAGCCTGCCACGCTAAAGGAGGCTTTCATTATTGCCCTCCGCGAAGACTTTGGAGTCACCAAGGCCTACCTCAAGCCTTCGGTGTTACCGCTGCCAGATCAGCGGGTCCGGAACCTATGGAGATTGATGCGATTAAGTCGTCGGGTGACCGACGACGTGCTACACCCTACAAAGGCGACTTCCGTAGCAGACGTCAGATGATCTTCTTCGAGGTCGAAAGCCGGGACATAGCTCGGCTGATTGTCGCACGCCATCGCCGATGTCGGTGCATGTGATGGACATTCATCATGAGGCAGGTGCTCCGCTAACTCGTCCAAACAACGGATAAGACCAATAGGTGCAGGGCAACCTACTGGTCTAAAGAGGGGTCCAGTTCCACCGTAAAAGACCGACCTCCCAGCCCATCTGTGCTACTCGCACGGTTAAATGCCACCACTGCTAGTGGTGATTCACGCCTTATCATTGTCAGTTTGCATGTCGCCGGCGTCCGGCGACCTTTACTAGTGCTCCTGGTCCCAGGAGTGAAAAGAATTTCTTCCGTGAATCTTGTGTGTCGATGCTGCCACCCAGCATTTAGGTCCGCGAGGGGCCTGGCAAAGTTGTCGTCAAGCTCGCTGCCGGGAAAATACGCCACGTATTGCCGCGCAAAGTGCCGCTGCCGTATACGTTCGACGTCTTTCGCAGCAACGACAACTGCTTGGTGATTGAGATGATTTACACATTCGATTGCATCCTGCGCTTGCCGTAGTTGGCACGTTACAAGCCTCGGATTGACTGGATAGCGAGATCAGTGAGACATCGATGCAAGTTCGACGTCAGTGCAGTGCTAACCTACCTTTTTGGTGTCCCCAAAAAAATTAGACGAACGTCTTAGTCGTGGATCGCAATTCCACGACGCAGGCGATGCACAGAGCGAGCGATGGCCCTCTCTGCACTGCTTGTGCCACTCGGATGACCGGGTGACGATATCTCCTCGCTTCGCAGCGAGGAGTATAACGCGGACGAGCAGTGGATCCCGCACGAGGAAGACGCGGTCGAACAAGGGTATTGGAACGAGGAGTGTGGTAGAACTGGATTTCTTACCTGTACCTATTGTGGTGAGCAGAGGCTTCCACAAAGACAAGATGTGGTCGAGCACGAGCTCGTCACCGAGTGCGACGTGGACGGACAGGTGTACCCATTCAGAGCATGATGGTCGAACAGGGGTTTCAATAATCACCCACTGTGGTTGAACCGGGGTTACCACATCAGCAATTTGTGATTGAGCAGTGGCTCCCACATAAGGTTACGGCGGTCGAGCAGGGGCTCCCGCATCAGGCGTCGACGAACGAAAATGAGTTTCTCTCGTCACTCAATTTTGACGTTCTGAATGAGGACATCCAGTGTCTAGAGGGGTGTGATAGATTGTCACCTAGCTGCGGATCGCCAGCTTCGATCTGGACTCGAAACACTATGGGGACGCAAACATAAAGAATACAGCGTTGTAATGCGTCCACGATGTGGTGCACGTATACAAAGATTCCGCAAAAGCGCCAATTCATTAAAATAGCGAGTCCATCTCGCGACGCGTCTTCGATTACGAGGCTTCCAGAGCTCTCCTGGAAGCATTTCGTACGTGACCTAAAGGGATGAACGCTTGAACAGATTTATCTGGTCACCAATGAGGTGACCCCTGAGCTAAAGAGGAGCACATGACGCGCCCTCGATACGCTATACCAAAGTCAGCGCGTAAAAAAGGTTTGCAGCACAGTCATGGGAGGCTCTGCGTGAGTACGGTAACCCTGTCTACGCGATAGGATCGAGAGTACGCAGACGTCGTCCCGGACAAAATTTCTACTGAACTTCCTGCCAATCGTGGTATGCGGCACGAATTTTTCTCGTGTCAGGTTCAAAGTACTGTGTGACTCGGCAGTGGCTGTTGCCTCGAGACCAGGTCGAGGCCATTGATGCATTCTTTGAAGGTCGTTGAAAGGCGGACCATGTGCGTGAGAGTATCTCACCACACTCGAGCCCGACCTTCTGTGTGAAGAAGGCTACGGGAGGATGGCGGATAGCGCATGCGTTTAACAAGCTAAACGATGCCACTATTCCTGCCCAAACGCCCATCCCCAGGAACGAAATGGTTCTAAACTCCATGTCAGGTAGCGCCATCGATCTGACCGATGGCTTCTACCAGATCTTGATGCGACAGAGTGACATACCACTCCCTGCGGTGAGCACCCCAAGTGGTATGCTATGGGAGTGGCTGGTGATGCCACAAGGATTGAAGAACGCACCAGTCACTTTCATTAGCATGGTGTCACAAGTGATAGGACCGCTTCGAGACTTTGCTCCTAGCTATTTCGATGACATTTTTGTCCACAGTCGCGCTGATAAAAACCTTAGTGCTGTACACGTTTTCTATAACACTTAAAACAGGTGTGTCAAGTCATGCGAGACATCAAGTTGTATGCAAAATTGGAAAAAAGCGTATTCTGTGCACCGGAGATTTCGTTGCTGGGTTGCTATGTGAGTAAATAGGGAGTTTGAGCCGATCCAGAGAAGGTGTCATCTATCTGTTCTTGGCCAACACATAAGAATCCTACGGAGTTGCGTCAATGGCTCAGTCTAGCTAGTTACTTGCATAAGTACACCAAAGAGTACGCCGTTTCTGAACAACCTCTGTCGTCACTTTTAAAGAAAGACGCCACGTGGTCGTGGAGCCCCAAGCATCAAGCGGCCTTCGACGCAGTGTAGAAGAGTCTAGCGTCAGCGCCAGTGTTGATGCTATTGGACGACACCAAGCCGTTTCACGAGGTGTGTGATGCAAGTGACTTTGCAATTGGTTGCGCCTTCATGCAAATTGACGATGAGGGCCATGAAAGAGTCGTGAGTTACCAATCACGACAGATGAAGCAGGCGGAGAAGAACTATCCAGTCCACGATAAGGACCAATTAGCTATGCGCTACGCACTCATCAAGTTTCGTGTCCACCACTAAGTGAACGCACGTTCTCCCTATATACTGATCATGCATCGCTGCGCACAGCGATAAAGAGCCTATACCTGTCTCAGCTAGTGGCACGATGGCTCTCTTTCTTATCCGAGTACAACTTCGTCGTTCACTACAAGCCAGGCAAGACTAACATTCTTGCTGACGCACTGTCACGACGTCCAGATTACGATCCTCGGATGGCACTGAGTCGTCAGGCTACTGACGACGACGACGAAGACGATCGATGTGCGACGTGTGTGTCGTTGAATCTAACTCGGGTCACACCCAAGTTATGCCTATACGATAAGTTGTCGCGGCTTACGCGAACGACCCGGATTACGCGGACATTATTGCCTATCTGCGCGCTCCCAGCGATGATGCACTGGGAGCTCTTTCGCTAACGAAGCGTGATTACATCAAGCGATATAGTATGTATGGTGATTTGCTGCTATACATCATCGATCGATTCGATGCACCTCGAACGGTAGACGCGAACGACTTGGATCTGCGTGCTGGCATCATCCGCGAGTACCGTGATGCCCCAGCTAAAGGTCATTTAGGCCGCTAAAAGACTTTTGTGGCTGTGTCGCGTGCCTTTTTTGGCCCCACATAAACAAGTGGGTTCGCAACTGGATTTGCACATGCAAAATCTGTCAAAGAGTGAAGGCATTTCCATCGTCCCAGGCCCCCTGCGATTCTTGCCGATTGCAGCTGAGGCTTAACGCTCAGCGTCGATGGACTTTATCTTCGGGTCCGCGCCCGATAGTCAGAATTGAACCGGTATCCAGGTCTTCGTGGACAGATTCAGCAAGATGACACGCTTGGTGCCGGTTCATGCAACAATGACCTCGGCTGAGACCGCGGTGCACTTCATTGACATAGTGTTTCGCTATCACGGTTTACCGGACGACATTGTCTCGGACCGTGATCCTCGCTTCACATTTGCGTTCTGGACCTCATTGTTTAAGATTCTTGACACGAAGCTGCAGATATCGACGGCCGTTCATCCGGAAACGGATGGGCATCCAGAGCGGGTCAACCGGGTCCTCGAAGATGTTCTTCGAAGTTATGCTACTTCCTTCACATGTTGGAGTGCGTTCTTGCCACTCGCTGAGTTTTCAATCAACCACGCTATTCACGAGTCAACAGGGTTGACGCCATTCTTTGCGAATTCATCTCGTCACCCTCGAGTTCCTGCTCTTCGTGCCGTAAATCATCTCACGGATCTTCGTGTATCCGCTCTGGAGGGGGGTGAAAGTGACAATTAACGATCGAGTGCAGCTCACGGTATTCTAAGCGCAAATGTAGTCAATACTTCCAAGTCGAAGTCCCCTGTTATGACGCCACTAGAAGTGTCTTCCCCGCTAGCTCTATGGACTACGCAAACACTGATTGACCCTTCTTCGGGTATGCGATCACCTAAAACCAGCTATGCGCCGATTGAGTCGGCGCAACCAATTGATGACATGGCTGTGTCGGTGTTCATACTTTAACGTCAAGAGATAACGAGGTTTGTACGAGATACTCTTCGTTCTGCAGTGGATAAGCAGAAAAAGAATGCGGACAAACGTGCAAGAAAGAACATGAGCACATTTAAAAAAGGTGGCCGTGTGTTGCTTTCTACTGAAGGCATATGCGATTCGGCAGTTACCAATTTCGGCGCGAGCAAGCTCGCGCCACATTTCATCGGACCATTCACGGTGCTCAAGTCGATCGGCGACGCCTACAAGCTGGATATCCTTTCGTCGTTACGCCTAAACCCGAAGTTCTACATAGGGTGGATGAAGGAGTAATGTCCGGCTACGCTTCACGAGTTGGTCTCGACCCTGAAGGCAAGGGCTCAAACGTTGATCTTCCCTCCCGTCTTTCTCGACGCGCCAAGGACAACGGACGCGGCTGCGTTTCAATCTGCGTGGGACCAAGATCCTTGCGTTCCAGTTTCCTCACCCGTTCGAGCGGTTGGCGGTTCGACTGTCCTATCTCGCTCGCCTGTCCTATCTCGCTCGCCTGTCCTCTCGGCCCGTGAAGCACGCACAGCGGCAGCCTTAGCTCTCAGCTGGGCATCGACAGCCTTGTTCACCGCCGCATCCACATCTTCCTGGACAACCAGGACGCCAACGCTCTTATCGCGATGGCCCACCGCCGCTTGTGGATGCGGTAAGGCAGAAGCACTAGATTGCGAAGCGTTTACTAAGTCACGAGGCCCCTCTTCGTGAAGAGACATTGTCGCGACTTCATGCGCGCGTAAATATCGTGTGCGCTGGATCAGGTTTGCACCCGAGCAAGATACGTGGGAACCGCGTATGTAACTTCTTCAGGGTGTTTTAGACGTCGTTTGGGCATGTGAGTCCGTGGACACGCCCAACCTTGATGCGCTCGACAACGTATGTGTTCTAATGGCAAACGAGAGCGAGACGAGCGACGGCGGCGTCGTGGTAAAACTTCACCACGAAGAAGAGACCAAGAGCGACGACGATGTCGTGGTGAAAGATCACCACGACCACGAGAACGAGAGTGTCGTCGTGATAAACGTGCTTCACCACGACTACGATAACGAGAGCGTCGTGGCGAACGTGCATCACCACGACCACGGGAGCGAGATCGCCGTGGTAGATATGCATCATGACCACGAGAACGAAAGCGTCGTGATGGATCCACATCACGACCACGTAAACGAGTGGTGTTCGCCAGCGTGGAGCGCCACGAATAACTGCGGTCTCTAATCATCATAGCTGCGCTCATACCGTCCGATCCTTAGATTTTCATAATCGCTTAGTGGATGCTCAGCGACGTGCTTTCGCCAAGCTGCGCAAGTTAAACGAGGCATCAATTCACAAGAGTAACAAGATTCGTGCACATGGACGTAGCAGAGTCGGTCTACGTTTCACGCATTCTCGCATATCTTCTCGCACAGCACGCCGATAGAATGATTGGCGTGAATGTCTTCACGATTGGCCAGCCACTGCTGAAAGTTTCTTCCGTCTTCAAGCATCCGGTTCTACCGCCGGATGGACGCACACCATGACCGCTGGAGCGACTCGTACGAGATGCCATCAAGACTCTTTCCACGCAACCCACGGAAACGCCGGAAGTAGTCCTGCATCGTTTCGAGAGAGTCCGGAGCTCGAGCTCCGGACAAGTCATACAGCGCCCAAGGGATCAGGTGCCGATCCATCACGTGGTCGACTAAACTCCCGCTGATTGTGCACGGGAGTGCTGTATGGTTGGCGTCTGCGTCTTCAGTCATCGTTTGGCTTGTGCGTCGTTGGGTCTTGTGGTTGAGCACTCACGGTTCGTGAGTGCTGTCTTGAGAAGGGGGTGATGTAATGGACCACCCCGTTTCATAAGTAAATTTGATTAAGTTTACATTTTACAAATGTAGGGGATCTATTTCTGAGCTAGTGGAAGTAGCACGTCGTATATTTAGCTGTTTAATGGGCTTGGTCCCATTATTAGCTAGTAAGATATAGGCACGTAGGTTGAGTGGTTCCCATGAGTCCAAGGGAACCAATCGTACATAGGATAATTTACAAGACAAAAATATAAACAGACTTAAAAATGCTTAATACCTGAAACTTGAATCTGGGCTTCCTAAGCATAGATAGTGTAAGTTAGTACGGCTTGTTCTAGCCCTGTAACACGTTTCGTGTTCCTGGTTCCGGGTCGCGATCCTAGGTCCGGATCGTGATGTTGGGTCCGGGTCGCTGTCCTGGGTCCGGATCGTGATCCTAGGTCCGGATCGCTGTCCCGGGTCCGGATCGCGATCTTAGGTCCGAATCGCGATCACAGGTCCGAATTGTGGTCTTATGTCAGGATCGTGATCCTTAGGTGAGGTATCTCGAATCTTCCCTATCCCTGTCTCACGATGAATCACGCAATCCAACTGGCTCCACTGTCATCTAGCCTTGTCCCAAGTGATATCGATCCTGCTGACTGGGGTTAGGTGCACTATTGCTAGCTACCAGTCCCAGTTCGTGTCCACCAATCATAACGCTTTAGACCGAGCTGAGGTGTGCGATCCGCCCGATCCCCCACTCTAACTAAACAGTAAATTTCCTTGTGACCACTTTGCCACAACCGTTTCCTGCACCAGAAATCAATATACGGTGTTCATCTGTCTGTGCAACCGTTGTGAATTGTCCCAACTGTCTTCATTTTTACGTCCGTTGTACCGATGGACGATCGCATCTCTTCGAATCCTGTTCCTTCGCCAACCTTAGGATCGAGGCATCTCGGATCACCTTCTCCGATACTAAGTTTGAATAATTTCAGTTGGCATATTTTTTAAATTTGAATTTAAAAGTAAACATGAAATTGACTTTTTAATTGAAACAGAAGCAATTGCTTTATTTTGTTTAATGATGGTTTTTTAAATTTTATTTGCTTTTTTAATGAAATTAAAGTTTTAAAAATATAATGAATTATTTTTTATTATATACTCTTTCAAATAGGTTATTAAATTTAATACTTCTTTGAAAAAGGTGCCCGGATCAAGAGATAGCGTCCCAACCTCGGACCTGCTTGATCCTGTCTTGCTTTTTAAGTTACCGGATCGAACCGTCGATTTCGGTCGATCGAACGACGCCGGACGCCGCGATCGACTTGATCTTCTATCGTCTGGACCTCCAGCAAACTGTCGTGGATCAATACCAGAGTATGGTGTCTGCCTTAGCGCAGCAGGTGACCCAGAATAGTCAGCTGCGGGAGGATGTCAATGAGCTTCTTACTCCGGCGTCTGATTTCGCGGAGTTCGTACAATACAAGTACGATCGCACGCAAGTTCGGTACGAAGAAGAGGTCAAGCGGTCTGACGCCTTTCGGGAGGCGTTAGCCTACCGGGTCGATCAGACTGTTGTGATTGCGCATTTGAAAGCAGAGATTCTCCATAATGTGTGGGCACGTCACGCAGCACAGGAGAAAGCCGATCGCGAGGTTGCCGGTATCCGCAAGCAGATGAATGACGCGGGATTTGGTGGTAGCTGAATATGACCGGCTGTCCGATAACCTTCGTAAGGCCGATAACCGCGAATTGCAGTATCAGAAGAGCTGCCTCCACGTCCAAGAAAATCTGAGTCGGGCGCTCAAGCAGGTGGCGGGGCTCCAGGTCCAATTATGCGAGGCGCGGGACTCTCTATCTGCACGATCCGCTGAATGTGATAAGTTGCAGCTAACCGTACAGTATTACGTAACCCTTCAGGATCGCATGGCCTTGCTGGCGGCCGGGGATACTCCCGCTGTGCCTGCAACGGTAGGGTCATCTAACCCCATCCCTTCCACGAAGCCCCACACGGCATCAGAGGCCTCCGGATCCACCCCAAGCGACCTCGCGATATTCCACCATCGTCCGCCTTGCCTCTCCCCAAAATAGCGAGCAGATCTGCAACGGCTAAATCCAAGCCTTCGCCGTGTCGTGATCCTAAGGGCATTCGCACTTCTAAGGATTCTTCTGCCCCCAAAGGTACTCGCAGTCTTAAGGGTTCTGCTACCCAGGATTCTTCTGCTAACCAAGTCGCTAGAGGCCCGGAGGGATTTCGTGATCCGGGAGGATCTTGCAATCCGAAAGGATTTCGAGATCCAAAGGGTTCTTGCTCCTATCATTGGCGTGCTGCTACCCGAAAATTGGGCAAGCAGAGACGTCTTGGTCCAGTCCTATCGTCATGTGAGGGGGAGAAAACATTGGCAAAGAGGATGCAACGCCGGCGGCTCTGTCGGTATCTTAGTCATCAACACGCCGTCGAGCGTCTAATCCGACATCGCCCTTCTCGGCCGGGACTTCCCATACTCTCATTGTCGTAGACAAGCCTAGTCCTCCGCGCGGTTCCCCGTCTCTACTGGCTCTACTCGCGACTCTGTGACCAAAGCGTCCTGGGTGGATCTCTCTGTGCCCAAATTGTCCCATGATATCCTCGGGACGCTTCGAGCGATTCGGACGGTGCGGTCATCCTCGACTATGCGCCTCGTGCGTAAATAAACCCGTTTTTGTCTCTTGGAGATTACGGGTGTCTGCCCCCCCACTAAAATCTCTCGTGACTAGTGGACCTCCGGATCTATAGATCGTATACCACGGTCTTCGGCTCAAGCTTCTCCTTGGTCAGGGTGCAGAGTCAGCTGGACGAGGGCCGCGGAGTTAGACGTTATTTTCGTTTATCAACACTTCACCCGTCCTAATGGGTAAATCTTCCCGACGGTACTTGTGCCCAGGAACCCTCCTCCACATCCGAGTGGACACCTCAGCTGACGTGTTCGGCCGAGATCACGGCCTTATACGCCCAAGAATCTTGAGAGACTACTTCACGCCGGATCGCACCGATCTCTTTTCCTCGTGCAGAGTTGTTCTACCAACTCACCACCCTGTAATTGGATTTCGAGAATAAAACCGACAGGATTTGTGGGAATCGACGTATGGCATCTACCTTTCTGGCAATCAGCGGGCCAGCGATCATGAGCTGGGTATAATATGGAAACAGCGGAAACAACGTCGATCACGAGCTGGTACGGTGGAAGGCGATCCTTCGATTCATCTTGCAGGGTATGATCGCAGGTCACTGCAATCTAGACATTCGGTTGGACCCATTCTTCTTGCGCTTCCCATCCTACCTGGAAGTGACCCCATGGTATCCCGACTTGGGATGTAAACAGAAGAACATTGCCAACTTGATGTCGTCTCTGCCGCAGCTGGATGTAGCTAAGACTTGGCGTATCCAATTTCGATCTTATATCGCCTACCACCCCGGATCTCCGATTAAACGTCTGCCTCGCAAGTTCTTTTCCGCGTGATCGCTAGAATTCGAGTCACATGGTTTCACAATTCAATATAATTTTCTTCGATACTTCATCTCATTCTTCATTTTGAAATTGACTTCTTTCTTTGGCTTGTCGGCCGCGATCGGACCCTTTAAATTCTCTACCGCCACAAACTTCACATATAACCCCAGCTCCACAATCGCATGCACTTCCTTGCAAGTCTACCCATCCACCCGCATATGCTACCTCCTAACACATCTTTCAACCTCAATCATTGGCACATGCTGCCTCCCAGCATATCCACCCAAACTAGTAGGGGTCGTATGATCTGTCTTCGTGTGACTACATTATGTCAAACGGTTCTGACTCCCTTGATTTTTCTCATACCCTTGCAAAATTGCCCTACAACTAAGATAGGCCTCATCCACCCAACTCATATCGGAATAACCTTCCCATTTCACCAAGAATTGTGGATGTACTCGACCATAAAGGGTTTAACGACCAGATCGCACGTCCATTACTTCCTCCGCTTCATAAATTTCCTCTTTGAGATCGCCATCCCAACTATCTTCTGGTAGCAGAGTCTCAAGTGATTTGCTTCGCTCTTCGTAAGCTGGTCTTTCGGCCGCTCGGAAACATCTTTACTCTCTTCAGCTTCGACAGATGTGCAATTGGGGTTAGTTGATATGGAGTTCCTGTATTCTCCAGTCTCACAGCGTGATCTCCACATATGTCCGCAACTCGAAACGGACCATGCCACATATGTGCCAGCTTCTTTGCATGCCCTTCTTTGACTCGGTCTAAGTACAGCCAAACTTAAATATCCACTTCGATCTTGTATGGTTAGAGATCATCGTTATGTTGATCCGCTCTTTCCTGGATTGCAGCTCGTAATCTATCATTCACTACAGCCCGAGATCGCTGATATTGTCTCTGGATCAGATATTCCATCTCTTCGAATCGCGATCTCGGGCTCTCG